AGTGGGAAGGGTGGGGGAAAGGTAATAAGGGAGAGGAAAAAATATGAGAAACTGAAAAAATGGAAATAAAGTGTTTGTAAATGGGGAGGGGAGGAGGGGGTGAAGGGAGGGCAGGGACAAGGGAAAAAAATGAGAATCAAGATCTATCACGTAAAGGTACAAGATCCCAATGATGAATGTAATTGTATTGTATACCTAGATTGTACCAACAAACTCAATAAAAAGAAAAAAAAAAAAAAGAAAGTAAAGCACAAAGTGGCATGTGATGAAGAAGGGTAGGAAATAGGCTTGCAGAGACAACATGAGCAAGAGCAGCCTGTTTATGTGTACGTATGTGTGGAGATGGGAAGGAGACTCCCAATGGATTTTGGTCTGAGTAACTGCAAGGATGATATTGTGATTGATTTATCTAGGCAATGCTGTTGTTAATACAGATTTCAAAGGCATCAAGGGCTGGGTTTCAGTACTTTTATATTTGAGTAGTCTATTAAACATCTCTGTGGAGATGCTCATTTTACAATTGAATCTGGAGGTCAGGATAACTTCAAGACTCAATAAGAGGGAAGAGTAGTGAAGGGAACCACCAGTACTATTGAAGGAAGAAGGAATATGGTGTCCTAGTAGCCAAATGAAGAAAGTGTATCCGAGAAGGAGTTATCAACTCTCAAATGCTGCCAGTAAGTAAAAGGAGATGAATATTGAGAGTTGGCTTTTGGACTTAGCAACACAGACATCACAGATGTCCTTGATTGGAAGAGTTTCAGTAGGTAGAGGAGATGAAGCCTGATCAGGGTAGATTAACCTCAGTCAGCTGAAACCCAGTTGGGGTAGGTTTGAGGCAGCTTTTCCAAATGCCTTGGAAATTTAGAAATGAGGAGCAGTTGGTGGAGAGAGTGGGTTAAAACATTTTAAGATGAGACAAGCAATAGCGTGTCTGGAGGCTAATAGGAATTATCCAGTAGAGACAGAAAAATTGATGATGTAGAAGACAACTGGTATGTACTAGAGTGATGTGTTTGAGCAGATGAGAGGAGATAGGAGTTAGCGGAGGGACTGGCACCTAAGATGAGCAGGGGAAAAATAAATCAATGCCAGCAGTTTGAAGTGAGGATGAGGGAGGTGCTGCAGGTTAGGGTGAGGAGGACATGTGAGGTACTAGAAGAGTGTGAAGAGAAAACGAATGTAGAAAATATGGCGTGACCGTCAGTTAACATGAAAGAACAACTTGATGTCTGTGGCCATGAATTTTAAGAAAGACCAAACAGTATGGTTGTATACTTTTTTCTAGCTCGATTCAACTCCAAGAGTACAGACACAGAATAGGTAGAGAATTGGATGTACTCTTATGTTTTTGCCGTGAAGTTTGATCAGGCAGAGAGAAGCAAGGGATCTGAAGGTGTATGCACAGGAGCAATTAGAATGATTGCCTGGAATATAAGCTGAGGATGGGGTGATACAAGGATACCACAGGGAATCAAAAACAGTACAAGATAGAAGATCTGATAGACTAGAATCCAGTGTGGTTGAAGGATTGAGGGGGTTTCAGTATCACAAGGAGTCATCTGAAAGATGAGAGTTGTTGCCAGACAGTGGAAAGTGTGAAGTTAATTAGAATCTGATGCCTTCTCAGTTTTGCTCAAATAGCATCTCTGCCCCAAAGCCTTCCTTGACTCCCCGAGGACTTCTCCTCTCATCCCATCCAGTCTCCAGTGAGCTTATGTTTTGTTTGTGGCCCATCACACATTTTGCCATGCTCGTGTATCTGCTTTATCTTTACTGATCCACTAATGAGTGCCAGCTGATTCAAGGAAAAACCTCTATTGAGTCTTCTTTGCATCCCTGTAGCATTCTTAGGGAAGATTCCTGTCCCTAGTCTCAGAAAACTTTTAGATTTAAACAAGGTGAGGGATAAGAAAGATGTGCAGATGTTTCAGGTTGGGTTTCCGGGGCAGATTTTTGAGGTGGAGGTTAGCATTCAGGTTATTTAGTAGGGAGTGTCTTTGGATCAGAGCTGGTGGCAGGGAGGAGAAGGAAATGAAATCAGGCAGAGAGATAAGTCAAGCTGTAGTGCAGGTTCAACGACAGTGTCAGCTAACCTCTGGGGAGCTCTGGAGATGCAGTGGCCCCTAAGAGATCCCCAGCATCTGTGCAGGTCAAACATGGGATGTAGACACTCTCTGGAGGGGCGGCTCTGGCCGTTCCTGCAGTGGCTGGCAGCTGTCCCAGCAGCTGGGGCAGCACATCCTCCTGAAAGGGAACTAGGTGGCATATGACAGTGTTCATCACAGCAGTTCCATTGCTTCAAAAATTTCTGGGGGGTAAGAACAAATAAAGACTTCTGTTTTCAGAGGGAGTGAGAAAAGGGTGAGATTTCTATGAAGACTGTGGGAGGTGTGACAATTTTCAGAGAGGAAGTGGTGTGAAATAAATGTTGGCATAGTTTCACTTGCTTGCTTTGGTATCTTCCTTTCTTTATGGCACATCTGTCTTTTTGCCCAGCCAGTAGGAAAGAGTGCTGTTTTTAACTCATCACGGCAGCTTTGCTCTTTTTCATTATTTTGGGTTTTGTTTTTTATTTTATTATTATTATTATTTTTTACCAGAATGTCTCAGATTCCAAGCCACGTCTGTCACTTCAGCTAATTTTCTTTGATGGGGAAGAAGCATTCCTTCACTGGTCTCCTCAAGATTCCCTGTATGGGTCTCGACACTTAGCTCTGAAGATGGCATCAACCCCGCACCCACCTGGAGCGAGAGGCACCAACCAACTTCATGGCATGGTTAGTGTGGGAAGTTTCCACGGTGCTGCCTCCCAAGGAGAGGCTGCCAAAGCCAAGCAAAGACCGAGAGGTGCCACAAAATCCTTGGAACAGAGTGTTTATAATACAACATTCCTTGGCAGGCATTAGGTTTTTGAGGAATCCCAGAGCTACAAAGAACAATTCTGGGTTAGAAGCCATGTTTGGCTGAGCTAAATTGAAGTGATATTAAAAAAAATCAGATCAAGGAGCTAATAATTTGGTTTGTTGGAAGCGCGTTCTCTAAGCACTGTATAGAGGTGGAGGGAGCAAATCTCTTCTTTGAAGCCTTTAAAGAGAGGAGGCGAGGGTCCTGGGAAATGGAGAAAGAACGGGATGGCAGTCGAAGCGTTTTCTCGTTGTATTTAAAGTATTATAGTGGCTCTGGTGTGTTTATGATTTTTTTTTATGTTTATGATATTTTGATTTGCTGTTCAGTGTAGAATTTTTGCCATGGGTATGGGGATGTTTTGATGCTGCCTTAAAATTCTGCTACTGAGTCATGGGTGCAGCCTCATTTTCATCCTCATTCCTGGACCTACGCTCCGTCCTGAATCCCTTACCCTGCCTTCTCACTCTGACTCTCATCCCATACTTGATTTTTACCCCGTCCCTAAGTCCAGTTACCCTCACTAACTTCAGCTGGGAACTTCATGTACCCTTGAAACTTCATTCTTCCCAGTGTTCATCCATCCCTGACCCTCACCCCATCTGTAAACCAAAAACCTGGTCCTACCCCCTGAGCTCTACTTCTCATCCATGACCTTTTCCCTATTACTGACCTTCAGCATGTAAGTCAAACTGGCCACATTTGATGTCCTTTATGTCTTTATCTGGCATATTTTATGTTGGCAGTGTAGCCCCTATGTCCCTTAGTAGCTCAGAATGGGTTAGAGAATAGGATCAGCACTTCATTCATTCACTGGTACCCAAGCTGATATAAAGGTTCAGGGAAGGAGAGACCTGGTGGATCAGTAATAGGAGCAAAGTTAGTTACTTTCAATTCATATGTAGGAATCTACAGTGATGGTGAAGACCATTTTCCCCAGAAGAAAAAAACCCTCTTTTCCCCCCCATTGTTTATTGGTACATTTAAGCAAACAATACAGTTATATTTATCATTGGGATCTTGTCCCTTTACATGATGTGTCTTTGCTCTTATTTTTCCCCACACCCCCCAAAAAACCTCTTAATAGCTTATCCAACCTTGTTTAAATAATCTTGTCATTTTTTCACACTGCAAATCTTTAATTATCGTTCATGAATTTATATGTACTATCTTTTAAAAATCACAGGGGCCGGGGATTTAGCTCAGTGGTTCCGCCACCTGCCTTGCAAGTGCAAAGACCTGAGTTCGATCCCCAGTACCAAAAATAAATAAATTAATTAATTAATAAAAATCACAGATCCTGAGAATATTTATCTACTATGTGTTGGTATCATTTGTAAATGTTTATCCACACATTGTTTTACTAACATAAGTCAGGAGGCTTTAATCTAGAGAATAGTGTACAGGGAGTTCTTGAGCTTGCTGATATTTTATGGCTCAGGTTAAGTTAAGGTATTCTGGTTTAACTATGAAGGTCTCTAACTAGAAGAGATTTAGAGATTAGACAGATTAGATGAGGAGCTCTTCATCTGATATACTATAAAATGGAGATCCAGACACAATATTATATATCCCTTTTGCAGGGGATTTTTCTGATCTGTGGCTTGACCAATAGTAACTTTCCAAGTGTTCTCCCATAGACAGCTATATCATTATGCATTAAGGATAAAATGGCTAATTAGAATGGAACAGAAAGTCAGACAGGCTTGGATTCCCATCTGAAAATAAAGTATTCTTTTTTGATTTGTGAATTACGTTTCCAATGTCCCCCTCTAATTCATCCTTGTCTTTGGGGTATATACACACATAATCACACTTTGCCATTTGTTCACATTGCCTAAAGATTTTAAAAGTTCGCTAAAGTGATTAACATACAATGTTGCAAGTTTTTTTTTTTGTTCTTTTATACAACTCCTCAAATTATTCTCCATTACTAAGATGCAGTTAGTTTTAACTGATTGTGCTTCACTGTTGATGAATATGAAACATGTCTTGGTGACTGTGATTAAACAGTATCTTTCTCTCTTAGGATTTACTGGTCTTGTTGGATTTACTTGGAGCTCCAAATCCAACATTTCCCAATTTTTTCCCAAAAACTGCCAGATGGTTTCATAGACTTCAGGCAATTGGTAAGTCACTACAGAATAAAATGTGGCTTCTTCCTGCTGACAAACACTACGTTTTAAAATTCAAAAATTATTTTTTGCATGTGTGATTTAAATATGAAATGTACTTTACTAGCTTTTTTCTTGGTCTGTTGATTAGCTTATTATTCATCTCTTTTAGTAGGCCCAGTTTATTTTCCTGCATAAAACTATTTTGAAATGGAAACATAAAATATTACATTTTTACATTTGCTTATCCTTAGGAATAGTTTGCAAATACTTTTCCCAGATTCCTGCCTGGTACACATAGAACACATTTCTAGAGAATACTTTACCCAGCAAAGCTTGTTAACTAACAATAAATATTATGTCCTACTGACACCAAAAGCTATTCTTTAAGTTTTCATTCTTTTCCATCTTTTATTATCTATTTTCTATCTTTTTTTAATACAAAATTACCATCTCTGGTAATTTTCAAAAAAATAAGAGATCAGGAGGCGAGAGAAAGATCTGTCCAGAAACACTTGGAGAAGATTTAGAGTTTAATAGATAAGAGAGTGGTAGGACAGACCAGGCTGGGCCAGGCCAAGAAACATAGGTATCTGTGGTTCCAGAGAGAGGTGTGGGGCCTGGAGAAGGAAAAGGAGAATTTTTTTTTCCTCTCATGTTCCCATCCTCCCCAAACAAAGCAAGATGGGACAAAACAACCACAGAGTTACCAGGGAAAGAAGAGAATGAGATGAATCTTTATTTGTAGAGTCTAAATCATAAGGCTGCTTTTGAGGCAAAAACTTCATACTAGCAATTCCCTACAACACACACACACACACACACACACACACACACACACACTTTTTTCCTCTCATGTTCCCATCCTCCCCAAACAAAGCAAGATGGGACAAAACAACCACAGAGTTACCAGGGAAAGAAGAGAATGAGATGAATCTTTATTTGTAGAGTCTAAATCATAAGGCTGCTTTTGAGGCAAAAACTTCATACTAGCAATTCCCTACAACACACACACACACACACACACACACACACACACACACGTGTACACTTCTTAACACACACATATTTCTTGGAGCAAGACAGAGCTGTATTTTGAGCAGTGGGAAATGCTGTAACACCTTAGCTTACATTTTTGCTGTGAGTTAAGAATTTGCCAATATTCAAATCTAAATTCATATGGAAGAAACTTTGACCTGAACTTCAGATGCTTATTTTTGGCAAATTTCAATTCCTAGTTTAAAATAATTACTATTATGGCTTTATTAATATAACTTCTTGTGCCTCTTTCTTGTACTGTGTTTTCCTTACTTTTGATGGCAGCCTCCAGAAGTTGCTTTTGCCTTCTTTCAAGGGTTTTGTACACTTTTCTTTTTTTTGTACCAGAATGAACATATATCAATAACTTGTAGTTTGCTGCAATTATAACCCATTGTGCTGATCAAATGATATCTCTAATGTACAAGGCAAAACTGTATCCCATGTTAAAAATTACAGATATCAATAAACAGGAATATTGTTATGGTTTTGGTACAGCCTTCCAATATTCCTAAAACTCTATTGTGTATGTTTGTTTACTAAATAGTCTTGTTTTAACTTTTAGATCTAGCAATTCAAAAATAATTGCAGGCTGGGAATATAGCTTAGTGGTAGAGTGCTTGCCTAGTATGCATGAAACCCTGGGTTCAAGCCCCAGTACATCAGCAAGACAAAAACAAAACCTGCCATCCTAATCTTGTATCCTCTTGTAACATAGAACACTTAGGTTATATATAACATATGGGTTATATGTTGCAAGATGACAAGAGTGATGGAATGCAGGATTGTGATTCTTTTTTTTTTTTTTTTGATACTGGGGATCAAACTCAGGCCCTTGCGCTTGCAAGGCAGGCAGTAGAACCCTGAGCCAAATCCTGGCCCATTGGATTGTGATTCTTAAACTTCACTGTGCATCTGAATCTCCTGGAGGGCTAAGAGTGCTGATTTCCATCCCAAAGTTTTGATGCGGTGGGTCTGAGTTGTGGTGGGTCTAGAGATATTTGCATCTCTAACTAGTTCTCAGGTGGTGCTTTAGGCTGCAGGTCAAGAACCTTACTTTGAGAAGCACTGATGTAAGTCCCAGTAGGTACCCGTTTCCCCAGAGTGGTTACATGATGCCCTTCACCCTATTCTGTTTGGGTGTTCCACTGAAGCCCCACATCCCCTGTTAAACATTCTCCACACAGCATCTGGACCTATACATAGCTACAGCTGAACCTTCTCTCCCCACCCCATTTCTCATTTTCTGTCTCTCCATTTTTCTGTTGAGTTTCTACTTCCATGGAGCTGACACCATAAGTCAAGAGCCACAATGCGAATGTTCTCTCTTCCTACTCCAAAATGCACATAACCAACTTCAGTTCAGATGTTCATTGTCATGAGCATGGACAAACTTATTCCTGCATAGTATTTTAAAAACAACACCTGCATGTGCTAAGATTTCTAACACCTTAAGTAAGGATCCATTCTGAGTCTTGATCAGATAAAAAAGCAGATGTTCATCTGCTATCTAATTGTCATCTGCAGAACATGAACTCCATGAACTGGGTTTGCTCAAGGATCATTCTTTGGAGAGGAAGTATTTCCAGAATTTTGGCTCTGGAGGTATTATCCAGGATGATCATATTCCATTTCTGAGAAAAGGTAATATGTGTGTGTGTACCTAAAATGTTCATATGCATTTTTATCTGTTATATTTTACATTCATTTTGAGATTTCAAGACCATGACGTTGTTTTACTTTAAAGTAGACCAAGATCGGTATTTTCCAACTATGCCCTATTCCCAAACCTTATTTAGCTTCCTGTCATCAGAAAGCTTTCTGTAGAAGTGAAATTTTCCAGGTCTCTAATTGCTGCATACATTGGAGAAGCAAATTGAACATGAATAATAATTGGAGCATCTTGAAATTACTAAGATCATCCTTCCGTAAAGACCAACTACACTAAAATAACATACTGATAATTTGAACCAATCCAAAAGTATTTTCAAATGATCTAAAAATAGACAAAATTAATTTGTATGAGAACCAATCATTAAAGAGGAGATATATAAGTGTAATTGATCTTTTTATTTTGCACTGAATAATTCCTTTATTTTCTGCATACTAGTGCTTTACCAACACTACAGCCATAAAAAACACAATGCCAGGTACTGTTCTTTTTAGTTTGGTGAGATCACAGTCTACAGACTCATTTACTTATATCAGACAAGATTAACCCCTTCAAAACTTCCTGCATTTTAAAATTTCAGATAAACACAGAAATTGATGCAATTAAACAAAAACTTCAGGATATTATTTTTAAAATTCTTAGATTGCAATATTTTGCAGGCTATAGTTATTTATTATAATCTATAATCACCAATTGTTATGATTCAATTTAACTGTATCAATTATAAACCTTTTATACCTTTAAGAAAATGTAGGTGAAAATTACAATTTCTTTCCAAAAGGGTTAAGACTTTTTTCAAAATATTCGCTTCCCTCTCCCCTTTTCCGATATTTTAAATAAACTAAATATAAACCACATCTGACCAGCAACATTCCAAAATAGCAAACATTTGATGTTATAATTAATCTTTGACCAATATGTGTCTTCTGATTATGTGCCTGTAAGACAGAAGCCAGACGACTGAACAAAATTAAACAAGAGGGAAGAAAATTAGATACACCCTCACCTCACCTGATCTTTTTTGATCCCAGGTGTGATTCAGATACAAAATGTATCTTTACATTTACAAAAGCTTTAACACTCCCTTACTCTCTCGCAGTTACCTTACCAAGTGATAGAATTTGCCATTGCTCATTGGTGTGGAGGAATGACTGGCCTACTCTTTACCCTGTCCTGCCCTTCTCAGGGAGCAGTTTCAGTTTAGCCTGTTCTTCATGTCAGACTCCTGAAAGCCATCTTCGCTTGGGCCTTTTTCCCCAATCTGCACCTGTATCTCATACACATTCATTTTTAGGTCTTAGGAGGTGTCTAAGGATAACACTGAGATATAGTACTGGCCCCTCATAATAATTCCTACTCCCCTTGATTTACAGCAATCTATGAGTGTGAAGAACCATTAAATTGAGTTAATTGATAACTTAAAGCGTCATATCTCATTGTTTCTATTTTCTCATGAAAATCATACCAGATCTTTGAGCACATATTTATTTTTTCCACACTTAGAATATCTGTGAAAGCCCACATTGCATTGACATTCTGCCATCCCTTTTATGGAGTTAGCTTGTATTCTTGTATGTTGTGTAAATCTGATGTTGTCTGGTCAGTAAGGAAGCAATATCCTTGTAATGAGATGGTGGCAGTCTTAATCAACGCAAAGACTTGCCATAGCTTTCCTACTGGTCTCCAGATTTTGTTCTTGTTACTCTATTCTTTGTAGAGGAGCTAGAGATATCTTTTAAAAATATAAATCACCAATGATGAATGTAACTGTACTGTATACTTTAAAAGCACCAATAAATTCAATAAAAATAAAAATATAAATCAAGTTACATTACTTACTTTTAACAATTCTAATTGTTTGCCATCTTGTAGAATAAGATGGAAAGTCTTTACCATGGCCTCCAGTGGCCTCCATTTTATGCCTATGTTCTCTTTGGTATTACCTCTTACTTGTCTTTTTTTTTTTTTCTCATTGAGTTTATTGGTACACTTTAGGTATACAGTACAGTTACATTCATCATTTTGGATCTTGTACCTTTACATGACAGGTCTTGGTTGTCATTTTTTCCCCTTATCCCTGCCCTCCTTACACCTCCTACTTCTCTTTTTAATGGTTGCCCTGGTCCAGCCATACTGGCTGCCTTGCTGATCTCCAAGAAGGACAAGACATGTCTTTCTCAGAACCTTTGCAGTTGCTAATACTGGTGCCTGCAGTGCTCATCACTAAATCTTTGCATGGCTTGCTCTCCCTTTGGTGTGTGTCTCTGTTTAAATGTTGGCTTCTCAAGAGTGCCTTCCTTGACTTTAAATACCCCTCTCTCAGCCCTACAGCCTGGGCCTTATCCTTTATTCCCTCATCTTGTTTCATTATTCTTAACTAGCTTTATCACTTCCCAAAATTATGTTTTATATGTGTTTACTTGCTTCTTTCTCCTTTGGAATGTAAGCTCTGTGTGGGCAGAGCTTTGCTTTTGCACTAATGAATTTTTAATTCCTAGAACCAGACCTGGTAGGTAGTAGGCACTATGTAATTATTTGCTGAGTTACCATTTGTTTAATGAGTGAATGTTCTTGGAGAAGCAAGGTGAGATACAAAGTTGTGCACAGGAGATAACGAATCATCAAGTGTCTTTCTATAGCACAGAGCTCCCTATCTTTGCAGAATGTTAACTTCTAGTTTACACACTAGAAATGTGGACCAAATTACAAGTCAGCTCTTTCTTACTAGGTGTTCCAATTCTGCATCTGATACCGTCTCCTTTCCCCGAAGTCTGGCACACCATGGATGACAGTGAAGAATATCTGGATGAGCCAACCATTGACAATCTAAACAAAATCATACAAGTGTTTGTGTTGGAATATCTTCATTTGTAATACTTTGATTGAGTTCATGGTAATTGCTTCTATATTGAATTCAAAAGTCAAAGCACCATTTAAAATGATCTGATCTGTGTCTTTGAATATGTGATCAGCGAATCACAGAATTGTATTTTCAATTGCTCATTAATTTTTATCTACAGAAAAAGGGAACATCTAAAGAAAACAAAAAAATCTTTAAAAAACTCATTTAGATAAAGACTAAAAAATGAGATCAGACTCACTTATTCAATACCATAGACTTTCAAACAGTACTAAATATGATGATGGGTGCAATATGTAGCCTTAGTTTCATGATTTTTTTCATACTTAGGAATCTATTATACAATACAAAATGGAGATGTACTCTGAAGGCTTTTAGCCCTCTGAGAAATCTTTGTAGGGTTAATTTTATGGAAATTAAAATCAGAGTTAAATGCCACATTGTGAATTTCTTTTCTTATTCATATGTATAGATGAAAAAGTATTCAATGCTTTGTCCAAGTTTTAGTTTTATGACTTTAGCACTTTACTGTAAACATAGTTTAGCAAATATAAAGATCATTAAAAATGGATAATGAGAAAAGTGCAATTGCATTATATAAACAGAATATTCATTGCCTCTTTATTTTTCTCATATTTTATTTTTTGAGATAAATCTAACTGTATAGTCAGCCTGGCCTTGAACTCACTATGTAGCCCAGGTTAGCCTCGAACTTGCAGTCATTCTCCTGCCTCAGACTCTGGAGTGCTGGGATTATAGCTGTGCACCTCAACGCCCAGCTAATTTTCTCACATTTTATACATGGGTGTAATAAAATTGTATGTACATTTTAAAAAACCCTCCTCCCTCCATATACTGTATAATTACATATATTTGCTGTTTTGGTCTTGGATTGAGACAAAGACAGAAAAAGACCATTGATTGTGACCTCGAGAGTCTACGTTCAGGTAACACAGTAGTAGCTAGTTAGGCTAGTTTTTTGTAAACTGTATGGTATCCATGTGTGGTTACCTACAGCATACATTTTTCTGGTGATTCATAAGCATTAGGGAATGTCTTTGGTGATAGGAAACAATTATCTAAAATATAAATTTGACCAACTGAACAATTATGAAATTGATCCTGCCCTATAGGTGATGTTAGTTATCCCCTTTATAGAGCAGGCATAATTCTCAACGAATTATTCTGCCCAGGCTAGGTAGAGGGTGAGACAGATCTGCTGAATGGGGTACTAGTGTTAGCTTTCAGTTCGATGACAGTGAAAGTCGCCAGAAAGTAATTTGCTTGCTAAAACGGACTTTCCAAGTAAGAAAAGGACATTTACTAAAAGTATGCTAAAGGATATTTACTTGTATTTTTATGACTACACCCAATTATATGCAAGAATATAGCCAGAATTTTATATATACATATAAAACAATATCTGTAGTTTCATGTTGATGTATTTTACAGAATTACATTTTTCTAGGATTTGTTTTTATTTTACAAAACTTTCTAAAGCTATGTAAAAGGATGTTGTACCTTTGTAAGTTAATAATGTTAGACACTAACACTTACTGAGCACTAATTCTGTGCCAGAATTGAGTGCTTTATATGTTTTTTACCAACTTTATCCTCATACCAATCCTACAAGGTAGGTGGTCTTATTAACCTCACTTTATGATGCTCAGAGTGGTTAAGTGTGTTCTTCAATTTCATGTAGCTAAAACATGGAAGCAGTGGGATTTGAACTCCAGCAATCATGATCTGGACCACTCTAAATTATTGCCTCTGTAAAACACTTGCAGACTATTCTTAATGTCAAATGCAAAGCAACAGTTGTATCCTGAAAATTTTCTAAGTCATTCTCTAAATCTGGGGAAGCAGTCTTGAAACCCTTTTGCCATTGTTCACCTGACATGATTCACTTAGACATCAAAGGCATGTCATCTCTGTGCAGAATTATTTCTCTGCCAGAGCAAAGACTATTTTTGCTTTAGCATGGATATGCAGAAACCAATACGAGTGGTTCCAGGGCTAAAGAATTGAAGCTACAAAGCAGGATTAAAGGGAGCTGAGCTTTCACAATTCACTTTTTGGATGAGAGAAAATTAAAGGAGTTCAGGAAAAACACACTGCTTTTAGCGTCAGGAAAGAAGTGCTTTAGCTGATGATATGATATGATAAATGGTTTAACTGATGATAAACAGCATGAAAAGTTTTAAAGCATCGTAAACATTAGTTGACAGTGCTGCATATATCATTTTAAGCCAAAACAATAAGCTCCTTTTAAGGCAGAATTAATAGGAAATCTATAATAATCAGTTGAGTTGGCCTTTGTGGAATTATTTTTTTAGAGGAGGTGGGAGGATATGTTTAAATGGGATAAAGAGAAAAGTGAAAACATAAGCAGCTTAATCCAATGGAGGTTTCCTTGCTTTGAAATGGTGCATCCTAAAATTCTCTTTAATATAGTCTGCATTAACATGAGAAAAGCAATCATGATGTCAGAAAGGAAGGCATTTTAAGGTATTAACTTTGATATTAATCTGTGAAATATGTTTTGTATAATTCATGCCAGTCAGAAATATTACTTTTTGAAAATTATAGCTGCGAAGGCAGTGCTCCATAAACATTATGTTGCATTTGGAATTTTTCTATGTGCATTTTGGAGCATTTTACAGCCCCTAAGAGAATAATTTGTATGTTTCGCCTATTACTGTCAACCCTGCAATATACAGGGCTATTTTTCTTCATCAAGAGAAGTGAGTTCAAAGGAAAATATTCATAAAAGAGTATTCATAACCTTGGCATCTAAAAAAAAAATCACGAGCCTGTTCTTGTAGCTTGAGGGCTGTGGCTAGAAGAGAAAAGACAGATCCTTCAAAAATGGAGAAATATTTTAGATAGAGAAGCAGTTGTCGTAAGAACAAAGCAGCCCATGTTTCCAGCTCTGACTCCGAATCTTCAAACAGTTTACTTCATGAAGCTTCTTTCTTCCATCAAAGAAATGCATTCATTATGGCACTGTAGCAAAAATCACGTGAAAAGTGAATATTTGCTCCGTCAACTTGGCCCAGCTGGAGGTGGTTACAAAACTCCAGACTTCATTTCTTTGATACACAGACAGCCCTGCATGAGGTTTGGTCTTGGGCTATTCTGCTGAACATCACCCCTCAGTTCCTCTGCAAGACTTCAATCCAGGGAATGAAGATGTGGAGGTTAAGGAAGCGCAGAGGAGATGAGGGAGACTGGTCAGAGCAGCCCCTGTAATTTGAGCAAAGCTATTCAGGAAGCTTGAAGAAAATACTCAAATCTGCATTTCATGAAGATATGAACTGTGCTTCAAAGCCGGGCTTTTCACCAACTTTTGGGTTCAAAGATGAATGTAGGAAAGATTGAGGTTTCACTCTGAGTTTCAGGATCACTTTCTATGCAGCCTGATACTCTAAAAGTAGTTTTGAAGTGGTTTGATTTTCTCCCCTTACTTCCCCCTTCTGTCTGAGATGCCTAAGGTACATCTTTTTCAGCCTTCAAAGAGCAAAATGACGTCTTTGTTGCAAGGGGCAGATGCCACTGTGGAAAGCCCCTGCTGCATTTCATGGCGGGGCTGAGGTGGATAGCAGTGGTGGTTAGCTAGTTGAGCTGGTAGGGTGGTGCCGAATCCCCCTCAAATCCTCCTCCACATCAGAATCGCCCCCAGACTCCTGGCAAGACATCCAGCAGCAATAATTTATGACATTTTGAAGAGGGCTGGGATGAAAGGCCTGTCTGTGTCGTGCCTGTATCCCTCAAGCCTGCATTTGGTTGGTGTGCTCACGCAATGTGAAGTCATCTGACTTTGCTGCTCACATTTCAAAGGCACTGCGTGGAACGTAGCCCACTCTCCTGAAAGGCAAATCCAGACTTGCCAGGGGAGAGTTTAGATCATTTCTTTGAGAATTAATAGTAAGAGCACACTGTTGCCAAGAAGAAAAAGTAACACGGCTTAAAGCAAAAAGAGAATACCCAAATTCACAAAGATGACAAAAGTAACATAAAAATAGATTTAAAAAACTGATCTAGGACTGGAAATTTTATTCTCTTACATTTACTTCTTACTGTGTAGTACTGGAGGTCCTTGACCTTCATGGATTTAATGTTTGGGGCTTTGGCTAGCAAAGAATGACATGTATTAAATTAATGTGTTTGAAGGAATCAGCATGGAGAAGTGAATGAGTATCCAAGCCTGTCCATCTGTTTCACTGCTATTCTGTCTTCATCCTTGCAGGAACACTTGGGTTCATTTACTTCTATAAATAAACCCCCTCAACTCATACACACTAGACCCACTTCTCTTGCTGAGGATGTAATTGGAGAAGTTTGGAAAATTGATGGCTGCCATGGGTAGCTGTACAAGTGATTTTAATCCTTTATTGGGAGAAGAATTAAGGGTTTGAAAAGATCACTTAAGATTTGCTTATGTTTTTGTCTTTTAATGGGGAAAATTATATGCAACAATGGTATTCCATTTTAGTGTATGCTAGAGTTATTTTATATCAAGTAATTTATTGTGATAATCCTTTTATAGGTTTACCTATATCACTGTTTGTCAGTATTCTAAGTTTTATTTATTTATTTTTTGGTACCGGGGATTGAACTTGGGCCCTTGTGCTTGCAAGGTAGGCCGCGGAACCACTAAGCTAAATCCCGAGCCTAGTATCCTAAGTTTTAAAAGAAATGAACACAGAAATTAATTTATTCTCAGTTGATGCTAAGAGTAGACTCTAGGGGATTTAACTTCTGATACGTGACTGGGTTAATTTCAGCATGGCTGTAACGTGTATTAGAGATTGTCTAGTTTATTGGTTTTCAGCTGAGGGTAGTACTACTCTGGTTGGTGACATTTAGGGCTGTGTGTGTGTGTGTGTGTGTGTGTGTGTGTGTGTGTTTGTGTGTGTAGTGGATTGTGGTGGACACCTAATAGTCATAACGATAGAATGTATCTCACAGTTGATGGGCAGGGGCAAAAACAAATGTTCAGGACTAGTTGTACAATAAAGAATTGTCCTGACCCAGTGCAAGTGGTGCTCTTATTGAGATACACTGGCTAGTTTTCAAAATCCTTCATTTTAGAAATTCAGATACCAAGATACAGAAAAAATGGATCCTTTAGAGATGAGGAAAGGAATCAGGGTGGGAGAGGAGGTTTGGAAGGGGATAAAGAGATAAAAATGATCAAGATATGCTGTATGCACATACTAATTCTCCCCTCCTCTGAGCATGTTCTAAAACAAAGTAAGGAGTTCATCTTCAGGGCAAGATGGAGGCTAGCAGCCCCAGGTTCATAACTCACAACTCCACTTTCAGGAAAAGAAAATACCTGCCCTCTGTGTCCCACAGAGTCCTAGGACTGATTGACATGGGCCCAGGTGGGTTCTAGGACCTTTAGTGATCCAATCTCTGAGCATGGACTGACTTTGGCTTGTGACTCATCCCTAGCCCTACAGCTGGAGGAAAGGCCATCC